GGACAAACTGGTCGTCGACTAGGAAACGAGCGTACTTGCGCACCGATGTCGGCAGTGGGCAGGTCTTGAGTAAAGTCCCAACAGTAGTCTTAAAAACTTCAATTTGCGAGGGCGTAGTGAGGTGGCTGAAATAATCTCCTAAGTTCTCGTACTCCATAAACACTACCCCACCGTGCCCAGATGCTTACTGCACAATGTTGCGGATACAATCTAAGTTACGGTCGACGACGGCTGTTCCCTAATTGGGTGTCGTACCGATAAGTAGACTACTGCTTAAAGGATCCACCCCTTTCCAGTAATGGGCCATTTGAATATGAATACTTAAAATTCCTATGCAGTGGTCTGCCTAGTTCCTGACGCTCGCTTTCTAAGCATCCGCTCCACCTTTCCTAGTGAACTTTTAAATGGGAACGAAAAGGAACCGTCTAACGGATCGTTCCGTAGAATATCGTTCGGTAAGTGGACAATGCTTTGAACATTGTACAGCACTTCAGCCTTACCATATAAGAAAGAAAATTTATCAACAAACATACTCAACACATGCCTACAATAAGGAACTTACTGTTTGCAGGACTGAGGACGAACCATACAACGTACTGCCGCAGATAATAACCGGAAATGCTTCCAAAATCTACAAGGAAGAATATCACACAGAACCACTATACCTGTATAAAGCGCGAACTGACGTAGTTCCGTACCCTCCCATGTGTCCACATCATTAAGAGGCCTGACTCTCTGCGAAAACTGGCGTGGCAGGTACGCATTCAACGATTTTTCCCTTTTATTAACCATACTTACCACTGCAGTTGACAACCTAAAGGTGTTTTCCCTTGAGCTTCGAAGCCACAACTTCAATAGCCTCTTCAATACACCTCGATCAACTAGATGAAGAGGGTCTAGAGGGAAAGAGCTAGTCATTTCTGGGTTACAGTCCAGCGGAGGTTAAATGCCAATGCGGTGGCTGTTATCAGCGGCGGATAAGAAGTTCTGATCCGCCCTTGTACGCTCATAGACACTATCATAACCTTCCTTGTTTAGGTATTCCCCTAACGCAGCGACCTGCGCAATCAAAATACGCATTAACATTCTTAATCTGCCTGGGGAAAGCCCTAGCAAGTGCATCACAGATAACGGCCAACAGACGGGACTGCAGACTTCGATCTTGTACATCTACACGCAGATCACACCTAGCTAAGTTTAGTAACTCCTACTAGCGGTCTGCAAACGACTGCACATCCGATGACTTGTCATTACTGTAGTAAATCTTCACTGAAAATATATTTCTAACAAGCAGCTACTTAATTCTGCCTAAATTGGCCAAAAATCTCTTAATCTTCTTATGAATAGGGAGACCGTCGAATGGTAGGAAATCTGCCACCTCATCACCTAACGTTTTCATGGAAAAGACACGCAACCGCTCAGTCAACTGCTTTACAAGTTCTAAGCGAACGTACTCACAGCTGCCCCATGTCGTTACCTGTGGCAGGCCACTTGCTCCAACCAGAAGTGTTCGTGAGTACAAGGGCATGTGAGACACGTCGGCTGGCGTTATCCATCTCATAATCTTTAGCAGGCTTGTTAAGTGTAAGTGAGGTATTTCTGAGCGTACAGCCCAGAGATATGTAGCTCCCTATTCTGTTGACGTATACAGTTATCATGCCTTTTTTCTGCGACTTTAAGGCGCATACTGCTAACAAACAGATAAGTAAGGCAAGCATACTTGCAAAGGTGTGATTTTCGGGGTAGGTATCCAAACGCCAATTAAATCACTGTAGCCTGCTATTATGAATATGGTGAAAACACAGCCGGCAGTATTATTTTCGAGGTTAATAACCAAATGCAGACTAAGGCCTGACAAAATTAGGTAGCAACCACGTAAGCATGGATTTTAGGGTGGAGGGGTTGCATTCCAGTCCTACCCTTTCGTTTTTCAACAGTTGTTTTGGTGTAGAGGCTTACAGTTTGTAAACTGAACTAAGTTGCCATCTAAGTCATACCAGTTAATACGCAAATAAGATGGGGTATGAAAAACCGCAACCACTTCATTCAGTTGTTTTTTGTGGGGAACTTATAAATACGACACCACTCTCATTTCTTTACTACCTCAACAGTCGTCTGGGACTAAGGCATGTTGCCTTGGTTTGTAGCCTATGTCAACATGGCTAACGTGTCTAACTTTGAGCATTGCTATACTTATTTCCTCCAATTTTGTTTTTTAGTGTCGCTCCCGCATGATCTGTTCTAACTACACAGATATCATGAAGACATTCGTCCTGGGGGCCTTCCGCGCGAGAATGTTTGGTGACGTCTTTGCTGCTTCTACATGCGAGCTTAGACTGGCCCCAGCATTTTTCAGGCAGTACACGTTACAGTTCTGTGGGATTGATACCAAGGATGGACGAAAAATTGTTTCCGATAGATCTGCCCACTACTGAATGCGTGGTAAACACTAGTCATAGGGGATGAAAAATAAAATTAGCGTACTAAGTTTATTTAAGTTGATGCATTACCAGGAATTCCAGAGACCCATTTCCCACGTAGATTATATGTTGCTTGAAAAGTTCTTCATAAAGTGGCTTTTACCACCACCGAAATTTCGTTTTACATTTTTGCGATCCTGTCAAGGTGCATTTGTGTTTTGGCTGTGGAGTGAAGTGGGCAGCAACATATCCGTTGTTGATCAGGATAAGTGCGTGCTCCGATATGTTCCGCCTTTACCACTTTCTAGCTCAGTACGACAGTTCGAACATCGCGAGCAATAATGTCCATCGCGTTTTCTGAGGGATAGGCGCTGCAACACTGACTTGCACGTGAATCGCTTTTTAGTGGAGCAGACTTGCGCAGCATCACCGCGCTCCCCTTCCTCACCCACTGCTCCGGTGGGAAAGTAATGGCTAAACAACCGGATGATAAGGCTAAACAGCCCGTTCACATGTGTCACACGCGACCTGGTCCTCAGTAAAGGATTGCATGAAGGCGGTTCGGCTCTCCTATCAGTGAGAGTGTCGTGGAGCCGTGAGAAGCAGCCATTGTAGCCTGGCCCTCAGTCCTGCGAAGGACCGAGTTATCCCGGCAGTTGTATACCTCCTAATCTACGACCCTTGGCGCTTCGTGATAGATTCAAGTGAGTCAGGTTTATTGTAGTGAGGAATTCTTCGATGTGCCGTGAGGGTAGACATTCCGTATCTGCTATAGTCTTTTATGATGGGTTCGAGCAGGAATCCGAAATGTCAGGCGAATAAAGCTCTTGTGCCAGCGATCGTGTCCCCTTCTACACAGTTACTTCCTGGGACTCGTCTCTTCATTTCTATTGGCAGTGCTAGGTTTAACATCGAAAAAGATCGATGTTTTGGTTGGTTCAAAAGCGTTCTTTCCATCGGACTAGAACAGGCGGGTTGCCCGTTAGTCTAGCTGCTGGCTACCCGGCGCGTCCACAGGTGGCGGATAGTGGGACGACCTTCAGTGAATGTTAGCTGCGAAATAAGCAGACACAGGTCTGACGAATAAGCAGTCACGGCCCAGCAGCGACATTGCTACCAGGTTGCGGTGGACTGAGGTCTGGCACGCTGAAATGACGGCATTATGACATGGCGACCTTAAACTGCCATTAAATAAGTTTACCTGCCACCGCTGCCTTGTGGTTAGGCTTTTAAGCCAAAGCGCTAGAGGAGACAACCTCGAGCAGACAATCCGAGCGGCGGTTGGGGACCAGCCCGTATTCGAAATTCCCAAGAAACCTCATGAAATATGTCCGATCACAGTATGACGACCCATGCTACGGCGTCCGCGGGAACCGATGCGCTCCGCAACCCTGGTCCAGTGATGCGGGCGAATAGTATGCGAGCTGGACTACTCAATCGTGAACGGACTCGGTATTGGATGCTGGGATGCGCGAACGTTCCTGGACCCTGATACCCAAAGTCTGGCCGCAAGCAGCCTTTATCAGTACAACGTGGATGCCTGCTCTCTTTGAAGTTCGACTCCCTGACTCAGGCTCCCGTGAAATAAAGATCCCGGGAGTTGAATCACACTTCACCCTGTACCACAGCGGCCCGCGTGATTCATCTGGTCGACACGGTGTGGCGATCGCTCTATCACAACAAGCGGACCTCGCGCTACTTGCTTGGGAACCAGTCAATGACCGAATGGCCTACGTGCGACTGAAGGGTCACTTCACAACCATCTCCATCGTCTCTGTGTACGCACCAACTTCGTCGCTCGAACAGCGCGATAAAGAGGCGTTTTTCTCTCATTTGCAAGCGCTAGTTAAAAGACGGCCTCGCCGCGATCTGCTGATTGTTGCTGGCGATTGGAATGGCCGAACTGGACTTGGCGACCCCATAACCAGTCATCTTCTTGGCCGCTTTGGGCATGGTTCCCGATGTGAAAACGGTGAAAGATTGCTGAACTTCGCAGATCGAAACCGACTGCTTGTCACCAACACATGTTACCAGCATCGCAAGAAACATCTGCTGACCTGGTATTCAAACGATGGTCGTACGGCCAGTCAGATTGACTACATACTAGTCAGCTCAAGATTCCGCAGCTGGGTTCACGATAGCAGATCGATGCGTGGTGCCGAGACTGGTAACACCCATGGGTCGGACCATGTCCTCATCCGTACACGCTTGAAAGTTCATCTCTCATCCGCGCCAAAAATGTCACGCCCTAGACGCCTCGATGTCGCAAAAATCCGGCAAGCCAGCACTGTCGAGACCCTAAGCAGAGAAATCTGGACCTGTTTTACGACCCGAGCCGACAGAGAAGTGAGTAACCAGTAGTCGTCACTGAAGACTTCAGTCTATGGGGCAGCTGAGAAAATCCTTGGATACACCCAGCGATGCCGCAGTGACTGGAGCAGCGGAAGAACCCTGCAGTTGTCTGTTCAGACGGCTAGAGCCAGGTTCCGAAACGATGACTACTTCTGCCAACTTCGGAAGATGACGGCAAAATCGGCCAGCGATGGCCGGAAGCAATATTGGGCTTAAATAGCGACCTCCATGGGACAGGCCTCGAACGTTGGTGACACTCGAAAGCTCTACCGTCTGATCCGCCAAGTTAGCGGTAAACCCTCTACATTGAGTGACTCTGTTCGCGATGTAAACGGCGGCATTATTGCTCTCAACTCGGCCAAAGTCGAGCGTTGGCGTGAGCACTTTGAGCACCATCTCAACTTCGATAACCAACCTACCTCGCCCCTGCTCTCGTCCTCAGCGGAGTTTCTTCCCTCTCCTACCTATGCAGTGCCATGCGATCCCCCCTCCGATGGAGAAGTCGCCGATGCCATACAAAAGTTGCGCAACAATAAGGCACCCGGAGAGGACGGTATACCCGCTGAAATCTTCAAGTCTTGTGTCGACACTGGCGCCCTGGCTCTATGAGGTGATTGAACGAGCGTGGAGAGACGAGGTTGTTCCTGATGACTGGGGCTTAGGCATCCTTGTACCTATCCTCAAAAAGGGAGATAAGACGAGATGCGAGAACTACCGCGGCATAAGTCTCATCGACGTTGCTGCGAAGATCTTCCCTATTAACCTGCTCAGGCGATTCCAGGCTGTGCGTGACTCAAGGACGAGGCCTAACCAAGCGGGATTTCGTGCTGGACGTGGATGCGCAGACCAGATATTCACACTGAGGTGCATTCTCGAATTTCGCCATAGCTACCAACAACCGACGGCCGTCTGCTCCATTGACTTTGCCGTCGCGTTCGATTCCATTCACCGTGAGTCCCTGTGGCGGATAATGGCGCTAGATGGTGTACCGGCAAAAATCATCGCCATGATCAAGGCCTACTATCGTTCCACTACTGCGAGAGTCCTGGTCCGTAACAATCTTTCCCAACCGTTCGGTATTCGGTCTGGCGTCCGACAGGGTTGTATCCTGTCACCCATACTGTTCAACTACTCCATTGACTGGATCCGCGGCAGGGCCCTACGCCAGAGCGACGGCGTTGAGTTTGCACCCGGACATTGACTGACTGATCTCGACTATGCCGATGATATCGCCTTACTTGCTACAAGTTTTGGTGATCTGCAGTCTATAGTGTCACGGGTGAACGAGGTTGCTAAATCGGTCGGTTTGTCCATAAACGTTGGGAAGACCAAAGTGTTCTCAAGCTGCATCCCTGACCAGGAGAAGGCACCCCTCGGGATTGACGCTGTCAACTTGAAGAAGTAGACAGTTTTAAATACCTTGGGGCGAGGCTGCTGCCTAGTGGACAGAGTAAGGACGACATTGTCTCCCGAATCGATGCTGCCCGCTGGGTTTTTTCAAGCCTTCGGAAATGCCTATGGAACCGACGTGACCTCTCCATCGCCACCAAGATTCTCGTGTACCGTGCATCTGTCCGGTCTGTCTTTCTCTACGGTTGTGAATGCTGGGCTTTGCACGTGGAGGATGAGCGAAAACCGGAGGTATTCGACCACCACTGCCTGAGGACCATCCTTCGAGTGAAGTTAACCGACTTCGTCTCAAATGAGACAGTCCGCGCTCGCTGCGACAACATCGCAAGGATAACTCAGGCCATCCAAGAAAGACGACTGAGGTGGTTCGGGCATGTTCTTTGTCGTCCACCTCAGGAGCTCAGTGTTACTGCCCTCGATCCGGCACCGTTGCCCCATTGGAGGCGTTGAAGAGGGGGTCAGTTCAAAACCTGACTCGACACAGTTCGTCAAGACATGGAGGTGGTTCTTGGACCTTCGGTATTTGGTCTCCGTCGTTGGCGAAGTGGATGGGTTGAGCTGTCCAGATCTGCTGCCGCGGATCGTCAAGCGTGGAGAGGTACAGTTCGGGACATCATCGAGGCCCGCTAGATCAGGCATGATCGCAACCGTATCAAGTACAAGTAAGTAAGACAAAAACTGTAGAGAAAGCACGTATGTGCATAGGTCACTTCACAAACGACTACAGGTCAATTTTTGACCGCTGAGGTGTCACTCGCACGGATCCTTGCTTATGTTTGTGCCTGTTTGCAATTAAAGTACGTCGATTCGCTTTCCTCCTACTATAGGCATTCTGTCTTGTTAACAGTATTTGTTTTATGAGATTTTTATATGGTCTTGCCAGTCCTTTTAGTGCATTGTTCTACAGGGTTCTGAACAAACACTCTTTTAAAATCAATCTACCAGCTAATGTTTGTCGCACCACTGAGCTTTTATTTACCGTTGCCCTCATGTGGGCTTTCAGACCGTCGTTAAAGTTATAGCAAATGACAGCATTGTCTCTTTTCTCTGCGATGGTAAACGTGTTTTTAGTCACTGTTCGTTCCACAGCAAATCGAAATATCTCCGGAAAATACCAAAATTTTCAACGCTTAACGCGCTTTCACTGGTGGCGCCCGAATCCACTTGACTATTGGAGCGTGTATAAAATTCACTTGGAATATCTGGCCAGGCTGTAGGCCAGCGCCTAAAACTTATTGCTTCCGAGGTAGAAGAAAAAGAGGCCGGGGAACAGTTTGCCATCAGTACTCCCATTACTGATTTCAGGTGCCAAGACTGGTCGTTTACACATGCTTGCCTTCTCTTGAACGCTTGCCTCCTGAACGCTGTCTTTGTCCATTTGTCTTTACTCTTCATCCTCCCAAAAGCATTTCCAGCTGCGTGTTCGTTTTATGTGTATGTTTTTCCACATAAAGTCGCTTGCCCCTCTGCTGTACCTTTTCTCTGCTGCTTGCTATTTTCTACTGTTCACTCCATTAGCGATGCCACGACCTAAGTCCCTAAAGACAGACAGGAGGAACTGATGTGGCAGTAATGTCCATCGATCCATCCTAATCGCAGGACAGAAGGCGGACATTATCGGAAGGAATTCGTCTGGACTCTACCTTTAGCTCGCGGAAGTGATAAAAACTACCTTACTGACTCGGGTATTGGAACTTTTGGCCGGCAGCAAACGTCCACATTGTGATAAAGATGACTGCGCGGCGTCAGGTTGTCTCCTCTAGCGCACCGGCACGAGGGCCTAACCACAGGGCAGCGGCGACAAGCAAACTTTCCTGGTGTCGATTCACGGTCGTCATGCCACGGTATCGTCATCCGACTTGACGGCATTTTATAAATCAGTCAGTATGCCCGATCTCTGTCTTTCGTGCCCTGGTAGCATTGTCGCTGCTAGTCCGGAACTACTCATTCACAAACACTGAGAACCTGTTTACTTCGCAGTTAACCCTCGCTGAGGGCCCTTCTGTTATCCGCCATCTGTGGACGCGCTGGATAGCCAGTAGATGGGCCAACGCGCAATGTGTTTTCCCGGTGACTACAGGTGTGATTTACCGTACGACTCACCCTCTCTAGCTCGAATGTTCGGTCAAGCAAACCAGGATGTTGCTGTCTTGAGTGGTCTCGGCTTTAAAAACTTCATCACATGGAGCCACTGTTTGGTCTGGCCTTGGATAGCAAACTTTTAATAAAATCATCTAGGCTTCGTACCGTTTTGTAAGGCTGGGAGCATGGTACTTCCGCCTACTCTCGGCGTACTCCGTGCTTAAACTTTGCACGCAAATTAACCAGAGTTTGAAAACAGCTTTGGCGAGACAGCAGCGCCTGTGGAACACGCAGCATAGGGCACCAGAAGTTCTGCAGAGGGCGGTGGCTTGTCTTCTGTGGCCAATTGCCTTCCAGGAGGCGATGCGCTCCAAAAAACATAAAGGGCGCAAGTGAATGAGATAGTTGCATCAACGCCTCTCTACTCTGCTAGCACATGTTCGCGTCCAAAGGGCTGGATCAAACTGAGATGAACGAGATCATGGCCCAGCCCGAAGGGTCGTTCCTCCTCTATTTTTAGCACAAGTGATTGACAATAATGGAGTTTTCGCAGCACAGATATCGTGGGTATGTTCCTTACGTCGATCATCCCGTGGAGACAGTCATACAAGCGAACTGCTTTTCATTGTTCTCAGGTGATTGGGGTTGACGGAGCCATGATCTAGACTTTAGGACGGCGACAGGTGCTAGCAGGGTATGATCAGAATGAATTAAGATAAGGTACGGAGGGTCTTGGTTTAGAAAATCCAGGTATTCGTATCGTCGACTACCTACCACTCGTCTCATTACTGACATCGTAGTAAAGTAAGGACTCCAATTATGATGTTGACTAAGATTCGTTTTCGAAAAGAGCAGTTGTAACACGCTCTTAAACCACAACGTTTGCCTCTTGATGACCTCTACCTGCCCTCGGCTGGTCCTGTTTCGTACCTGGTGCGTACCTGTGCCAAACTAGGTCTTTGTCTCATCTCTCATTTGGCATCTGGTGACTTTCGTAGCTCAGCCTCCTCACTTTTGACTGGGATGGGGGTAGGACATGTAACCCCCCTTGGATGGTTGTCCAAAATCTGCCTTCCCATCTTATTTAGGCAGGTGTGGCTCAAAACTGCTTGCCTGGCAATCGGTTCCGAAGGGGGCTATACGATGAGCGGATTCCCACCTTCACTGGCGTTCATGACGTTAAAGGTACCCATATCGGGCTCAAAGCTAGGGTCCATGGCTACGTTTAAAGTTAGGATTATTACTAGGAGTTGGGCTATGCTTAGGGCTAGAGCTGTCAGGATTAGGTTATGGCTTGGGTTTGGGGTTGAGACTAGGATTGGGGTTTTGATTTAGGGTTGGAGTTGCATGATTAAGATCAGGGATAAGGTTAGAGTTCCATGATTAGGGTTAGGGTGGGGGGCAGGGTTGGGTTTTAGGGCTAGCCTGAGTTAGGTTTACAGCTGCGTTCGTGTTTGACTTGAATGTTTACTGGTTAGCGGTCGAGGTTGCTCACTAAAGACGTGACCGCGGTTGCCGTTGGAGTTGTGGTTGACTGTAGTTCTTCCAGCGGAGTTACATACCATATACTTACCCCGACTGGCATGTACAGTGCATTTGGGCGTGTTACGAGGTGTAAGAGGTCACGGGTCAAATTCATCCTATACTCAGCCACTTAAAGGCTGTCTGGATATAGCCGTCTCGTCTTCGACAGAAATCCGGCTTATCGTTCTCGATAAAAGATTCAATATCTTTCAAGAACGAAGCTGTGCGGGATCGCATTGCACGTGGCAGGGTGCATGAGCAGTCAGTAGAGAACGGGCCAGTGCTTAGGAAAAGAAGAGGGGAAGTTCACACGACTCAAGAAAAATGAATACGTGTGCTTTCGATAAATTATCGCCGAGCCAGTGCATCTTTATGGCAATGGGGCAAAAGAAAAGCATGCGAGTGATAGGTGAAATCGATTAGAGTTCATCTGTTTATTCAAGCGAAGTGCGAGAACAGGGAAAGGGGAGTAAGAGACAGTGAGTTAGAAGACAGGAGGGCTTGGGGGGATGGTGGGCGCGGAGGAGTGCATGCATTTAACTGACGTTTTCCCACGGTAGGCCTCTGGTTAGTACCAGGTCCTCTGTGCGCACAAGACCGGCTTTTGTGGCCTGACGGCAATCGCCTCTGCTGTTGCTAACAGACGCTGGCCAAATGACTGAAGGTAGTTCGGCGCGACCCTGTGAATCAGACAAAGGGTTTGTCGGGGTTCGCATGATGCTCGGGATCATCAACGTGTGCTAGAATGGCGTTGTTTTGCTTTTGATTTCGCTCTTTCTCGACCATTCTGGAAGGTGTTCCCGTATTCTTTTGGACAGGCGTCTACTCGTGGGTCAATATAACCCGCTCCACAGGGGCAAGTAAAGGTGTAAATGCATCAGGAGATGGTCTGACTTGGCAACCTATTCCCACCTCCACTTCTTCCTAACTCACTGTCTTTTATTCTTCCCTCCGTTCCCGCACATCGCTTGGATGGAAAGACGAACGGTGGTCAATTTCTCCTATCTTTCACGCACTTTTACCTCATTTCCACATAAATGCACCGGCTCGATGACAATGTATCAAAGGCACACGTATGCTCGCTAACTGATTTTCTGAATCCTCCCATGGACATTGTCTCAACTCCAGAAATATGACCAGATAAACCGACAAGTAGCGTCTCATCTGCGTGGCGACCAGGACCACTGATCGAAATTTGAAGCATTCAGTAAGATACCCAGATGCTCCAACAGACAGGCAATAACTTGGCCAGTATGCGTGGGCGCAGTGCGGTAATCACGACGACGGGCCGTCGCGTACGACAACATCCATCGAGTGCACCATAGTTGGTGGGCGCGGGATGGTGATTTGTTCACGAATTAGCGATAATCGTTTTGCATAGCATATGCCACATTCTCCCGTCCCTCAGCCACCTAGACCCGGTAGCAAAAGCTTTAGAGCGACCGGAGGTGGATTCGGACATATTGGTTGGGAAAGCCAAACGGTCCGTCCATGCGTCCCACGCACACGACCTGGTCCCCGCACAGCGGACCGGGTTTTTCCACAAAAACAGGGAGCATTACGAATCCCATCTAAGTAGAAGCTTCATAGGGACCTCACTATGCAAGAGTCATTGCAGACTGACTTCCCATCCAGAGAGGGCCAAATTACCCTGTCAGTAAGCAGCCTTTCCAAGCCATGACTTTTGGCGTGTCCGATTTTTTGTAGTGATAAATGTGCCGAGTACCGTGGGACCGGAGTTCCCTGAATCGACCTCACTCTCTCTTACCTCACCCAGTCCATTCTCCGAGCCGGTCAGTCGTCAGATGCGGGGGCTGGGCGCAAGTGACTGGCGTGGCGCAAACTGCGCGTGCCCTATCCCAGTCCAGTCCCCGTTTTGTCCAGTGTGGCCCTTTGTGGGGGCACGTGTTACTCACAGGGATCTATTTGTATGCATCATTTTAGAATTCTGCGGCTCTGTAGCGGCCGAGGACGTCAAGGGTAGCACACACCAAAGTAAGGAAACACTGAGAAGAGATCCTGGTGGAGGTAAATCTGAACAGAACTGTTAGCATCTTTAGAAACTCATTCACGCGCAGGAGAAGAAAGTACGGCAAGTATGAGGTATGGTATAATAGAACGACATGGATATGGAGAATGTGTAAAACAAACGTTGATGCACACGTGGAATGAGAAACAACGAATAGGTGACCTGTCTGGATGGATAGGTGACCCCGACATACTAGATAAACAGCCGGTGGGGATGCAGCGCTGTAGGCAACTACAGGGAAGGGCCAAGGGGGGAGCCGGCGTTGAGTGGGAAAGAGTCGACAGCGTCGGTGTGTTGCGAGAGGGGGGTGTCGGCGGTGGCGAGAGGAAGGGACACCGGCCGGCTGCACCAGCACGCAGTTACACCACCTCCATCCCAGGTCGACGCCAAAAGTGTTACAACATTCAAACAATCCTGTTCATGCCAAGGGGTGTTACATCGCGTCTCTAAGCATTCCGTACTGCGAACACGAATCATTGTTAGCAGGACGTTCACACTGATTGCCGTTTTTAAAATCACGAGTTTTTGTTGTTCGTAGTACCAGCACAGTAAACCGCGGTCCATGCGTGGAGCTGTATCCTCCCCTCCCCAACTGGCGTTCCTCGTGCGTGCCCTACCCGCATTATTTTGGATTCTCTCTGCACAGGAGTTCTTTGCTTGCCTTAACGTTGGTGCATTCGTTCGGGGTAGGCCTTAGATGGCCCTATACTAGTCACTAGTTAATTCCGTTCTTGGCCAGTCACGAACATAGGAGGAGGAGAGTAAGATGTATGTGCCGCATATTTTCACGAGCATAAAAAGAAAACAAGCGCGCTTTTTTCACTGTTTACTAGCCGCTTTGCACATTAGGTTGCCTATTTTAGAAACACGAATTGGCCACTATACAGTGTTTGCCTACTCTCTCTAGAATCCACTCAGAAGTGTATCTTTACGTACCACGAAGGCACCCTTATGGGTGCTAGATAAAGCAAGTTATTTACTTATTGTAACACATCAACGGTTGTGGCTTGGAAGTTTACTGGCTGGTGTGATGATTCGGTTAGAGCTGCGTTGCAGCGACTCCTTGGTGCGACTTTCACGACACCTCTCACTTCTGCATCTTGGATGGCCTTCAGAGAGGGATTGACACGTCACTACGTCTTGCACTTTTACTCACTGCGGCTGTGATCATGCCAGACGTAGTCGACTTTGATGATATACCCCCATACATGACGATCGGCGGTAGCGGATTTGGCGGACTCGACCCATGCTTTTCTCCAGCCACGGGGACCGAATACTGAAGGTTCAAGAACCACTTTCATGTCTTGATGAACTATGTTGAGCCAGGTTTTAAGTCGGTCCCCTCTTCAACGCCGTATCAGGTATAGCAACACTGAACTCGTCTGGCGGACGACGAAGAACGTGCCCAAATCGCATCGGCCGTCCTTTTTGGGTGTCCTGACATATCCTCGCAGTGTGGTCGCAGCGAATGCAGACCGTCTCATTCGAGACAAGCTCGATGCACTTCCCTCGAGGAATGCCTCTAACTCAGAGATGATCACATGTCTCCAGTTTTCTCCCATCTTCCACACAAACAGCCCACTATTCACAACCGTAGAGGATGGGACAGATTGCTATGGACTAGAACTCACACGGTGGTTAAGCGACAATAGACCTCGATCATGGCAATGATTTTTGCCGACACACCATCTACTTCCATTATCCGCCACAGGGATTCGCGATGAACGCAGTCGAACGCGTCGGCGATGTCAACAAAGCAGGTGGCCGTCGGTTGCTGTTGGCCATGGCGGAATTCCATAACGCGCCTTAACGTGAATATTTGATCCATGCTTCCACGCCCAGCTTGAGTTCCGGATTAGTTGGGCCTCGTCATAGAGTCACGTACAACCTGAAGTCGCCTTAGAAGGACAATAACAAGGACATTTGCAACAGTTTCGCGAAGCTTATGCAGCGGTAGTTCTCGCACTTCGTCTTATCTCCCTTCTTGAAACCAGCACAAGGATGCCCGATCCCCAGTCGTCAGGAACGACCTCATCTTCGCACGCTTGCTCAGTTGCCTCATGGAGCCAGGGCGCCAGAGTGTCGACACAAGACTTATATATTTCAGCGGGAATATCATCCTCTTCGGATGTCGTCGTTGTGCAGCCTCTGCATTGCGTCGTCGATTTTTCCCTCAGAAGGGGAGTCTTATAACATTAAATAGGCAGGGGAGAGATAGAACTCCGCTGCAGAGGAGAGTGAGGAGTGAGTGGGTTCATTATCTGATTTGAGAAAGTGCCCGAAGTGCTCATGCCAGCGCTCGATCTTGGCCGGATTATTGGCAATAAAGCCACCATTGAAATGGCGAACAGATTCACTCAATGCAGAGGGCTTACTACTGGCTTGACGGATAATTTGGTAGTCTCTACCTTAGCATATGTTTTCAGAACTGTTCTGAACCGTCGTACTCGGAGTAACTGCGCTCTTGTCCGTAGAAAGGTATCTTGGACAAAGAATTGGAAGTTGGCACGTAACTCCTTGAGGGCACACCGTTCACGGCGTTCTCAAGAAAGCGCATGCGCCGAAAGAAGGGTCATTTTGCACTCAGCAAGTTCCGGCCTCATCCGACCAATGACCGCAGGTGTAGCCGAGTCATCTTCCAAGCCGCCATCTCTTTACAGAATAAAAGCGAGACAAAATATGACAGCGTACTTGGAACAGTCCCTCCCTTCAGCGGATATGCTGGCGTCTTTCGTCCTCACCGCTGCTGTGTGCTCGGCCATTCGCGTTCGCAGTAGTCTTCCGTTTTCCCCGACACAGCTGCTTTGTCCACAGCTGCACCAGACACGGTAAACGACTCCAGATGTTTCCTGCCGTGGCAATGGGTCTTTCGGCCTCATGATCTGGCGCCTTATGGTTGCTTCCGAGTCATGGTTTTCCGGTCGTCAGTCAATCAACAAGCGCAATGGCCTACCCGCTCTATATTCGGCGCTGAGACTTTGTCCCGTCAAAGTAGTTGGTCGCGAGGACAGCGTGCAGATGACCACAGTTCCTGGTGTCAGTATCGATGAGCTAAATTGCCCAAGAGCCCACACGGATGACGAAATCCGAGCGTCCGCAACTCGACTGCGTGCGATGAGCGTGGGAATCGATAATCTTGACCGGCACACAAGCGCATAGCAACTAAACGGCAACTGCATGCTTCAACACCTGGCCAGTCGAACCGTAACGCACTTGGGAGCTGCCAACTGCGATAGGCATGTAGCGACCTAGCAACAGCATCCTATAAATACTGCAACACCTGGGCAATTTACCACCCCTATGTGACTGTCTCTGATGATGGATTCTAGTGAGAATCCGAAACGTCGGGCTCTTTTTCCGGCGATCGTGTCTCCGTCATGGCAACTACTACCTGGAAGTCGCCTCTTCGCTTCTATTAGCATGTTTAGTGACTGTCAGATCGTGAGTAGCAGTTTCCGAGGGATTGGAGAGCAGAGGCGCCAAGTCATTTACAGTTGGAGGGGTTATTTTGCGCACACTGCGAATTGTTTTAAAGCAGCAGCTTTTTGTGTTCGGCGTACTCTTCGACTGAAGAGTGAACTAGTGCCCGTTGGGAATTGTTGGAATAATGGAAATATCGCCGTTCTTCCTGTTGAACTATATTCCAATGCTTACTTTGATAGTGTTACGCAAAAGACTCGGGATGACAAATGATTTCAAAGGTGTAGCCACATATTACGAGTGGCTGTACTGAGTTTCTGACGGCCCCTACCGTTTTTTCATCACCTCTGACCTGTAAAGGAGTTTTACGACCATTGTTAGCGAAACTGGTCACTTGGCTATCCACAACTAATCACACCTGCTTTTTGTTTCCTCTCTTCCTCTAGGGGATGACGGGTGGCATAATTCCGGGTCGCATCCGTATTCACCAACAGGCCTATATGGAGGCAAGTAAGTTTCGCCAAGCACTTCCAAGTAGTCCCCTCCAGAAACCTACGTTGTGAAGACGCTGGATAGGTATGTCAGTTTAGGAGAACTCCACAGGGCATCCCTTCTCGGTGATCCTAGTCTGCGTGAAGTGGTTGATAAGCTCACAGAAAGTTCTCGAAACTGGTAATTTTAAGGTTGATGCTTCTTTTCTAGCAATGCAGGTCCTTCATCATCGACAGAATGGTCCGCCGTATCCGTTGCACTCGGAGCACATTTCTCATCAGTTCCCATGCGGTAGGCAAATTTTGAAGCATTAACAATGTTCTAGGTGTTTCGAACTATGTGCCAGATCCTCAACTCGGCCATTCCTAAGTGTTGCTACCTGGAGCAGTCGAATTTGAAACTTTTCAAAAAATATATCCTTTTATTAGCCTTATTTTGGTTGTTGAATGTGCTGGATCTTTCATTGGTACTCACTACCCCTCAGTCAGTTATTCCTTAACGTTTATAACACACCTAAAATTCTTCGTGAACATGTCTGCAAATGCATCTCTGTCAATCGATATGGTCTGTCGGGCTTTTCAGGTGAGCGACTCTGCTTTCTTCGGCAATTTCCATGTATAAGAAGCAAAATAACATTACCACCAAAACCGAAGGCGACTGGAATGTCTTATTAGCCGTCGTCAGCCAGCCACACCCATCCCCAGGTTTTTGCAGTACCTGAGGCTCGAAAACGAGACCTGTTGGTTGGAAGTCCAACGTTCTAACTATTGAGCTACGGACTCGCCCTATCGATGGTGATCGGGTGTGTCAACAATATTAGAGGGGTTGGGTGTGGCGGGCCGATTACGGCTAATAAGTCGGAAATAGCCATTCCAGTGCCCCTTTTCTCTATCGGTAATGCTTTTTTGCCGCTAATACGTATCGCTCAGCGGCTGCTGACGCGACTCGAAACTGAGTTCTGAGACTGTGTCGCGTAACGCGACCTCTGTGATTGCCCTTCCACCGTTGCATATACCCGCTCGCAACCGATGGAACAACTAACCGGTGGTTCAGTGGTTAGGGTTTTGAACTTCTAACCAACAGGTCGCCGGATTAATCCCCAGGGACTGCACACCTCGTGATTGGGTATAAACGGCTGCCGTCGGCCAATAAGCCAGAAATGGCCATTCCAATGTCCCTTGTCTTTGTCGGTAAAGCTATTCTGCCTACATTACGCGTCGCTATGCGACTAACACCACACAGCTTGAAAGTTTTCGAAGCAACCATCCGGGAGTTCATAAACGAAACCGTGTGAAGATACTCTTCAAACGGATCCAGGCTCATTGCAGCAAACCGGAGGAAGGAGCACGTGAGACCCGTTATCTCCACGACCAGCTTGTGTAAAATGTCTATCCGAAGGTATTTATTAGTCTCTGCCTATGCGGTCGCCCCCAGATGACCCAAACATCAACACCACCAGTGATAGGCCATTGTCTGTCATACCTCAAGGACGTTTCAGAAGCAACCGAGCACACCGCTGCGGAGCTAGGTGTTGGAATTGCACTCTGCCTCAAAGCCATCATACTAAGTAGGGTCATAAAAACCAAAGACCAGTTAAAACCTGAGGAGAAATCTGGAGTAGTAAATCGCATCCCGTGCCAAAACTGCTTTTGCAACTACACAGGCCAGATTGGACGCATGCTTGGATTGTGCACACACGAACATAGGTCGGGTGTGTGACGAGGCGACGCATCATCACAAGTGGCTGTCCACACCTTCGAAATGGGCCATGAGTTGAACTTCGCGACCAATAAAATAATTGCTTATGCCGGAAATAAAACGGCCTGAGAATAGATTAAAGCCTGGACCTCAGACGAAAACTCACTTAATCGATTTATCGATCTGGTGCCGGCGTATAGAGCCCTGCGCAGTCGCCTCCAGTCTTGCACCGTCGATCGATGATTGGCTTACGCTCCCTATAACTGTCACTTGTGCTGTTGCTGCTACTATCTCTGACGATGGGCCTCTGCACGATTTCGAAGCTCAGAATAATAAACAAAATGTTCCAGTGCTCGACCACCCTTCTTCACTTAATAATCAAGATAATAACATGCATTTGCGTACATAGAGGATGTCACCCTTACTGGCGGGCTATCGCATCTAAGTCTATTCATATGGTCAAGACTGTGGAGGAAGGTGGTTGTCACGGTTGAAAATATTTTCCCGTCCCTTGTCTGCCGCCGGTGTCCACTAACCTCCCGCGTTGTTCATCTTTGCCGTCCAAAGTCCCGCTCACCTTGACCCTGTCCCCCCGCGTGCCCGTTACTATCTCTGTGGTCATTAGTTGCTAAGTCAGCTCCGGTGTCTTCGCTCATGTCTGGCCGGCGATCGCACGTGTCGACGTTGACACATCATCTGTTTTCATGTCCGCCTGCGTTCAAGCCCGATAGCTCGAGTTTGCGCTTTTCGGTTTTTTTTCTCCAACTGCATTCTTGTGGGGTATACGTTCACGCCCACTTCTACCCCTGCTGGTCCTTGAACTATCGCTGGTGCATCCGGTCATTTTTCCGCTACACTGATCTGCTCTCGCAGGAGGGCCCACCCAACTGTTGATGGCGGTCACTTCGGTGTACTAAGCCTTGAGTTTGTCCTCTGATTATTTGATCGTTCCCTCAGCCCAGAATTTAAGGATCCCAGAAAACGAATTTGCCTTCAGTATTTTTGCTAATCCGGAATATGTTCTGTTAGAATAACCAACCTAAACGCTTCAGTCGTTTTATAAGAGAGAAAAATAATTCGCTTTTGGCAATTTTGAAAACTCAAATAGGCCATATCGCGTGTCAGAATCCGACATTTTTTCACAAATCTATCCTTGAATCTGATAGATAGAAGACTAGGTAAACAATGTCTGTTTGTGCAGAGCGTCTTCCAATGCTTGAAAACTAACCTTTCAGGAGGTACCGGGAACACAGCATATCAGCCTAGACTCGGAAACCCTGAAATCTGTCCGTTCTCATTTGCCTATTGTTATGTTTCCTTCTCAACTCATTCTGATTTGACCGGCTGCAAAGTTTTTGCTCGCACGGCCGCGTCTTCTTTTTCTGTTCTCTTCCTTTCAGCTTCCCTCCAACATGCCTCCTTCGCGCTACCTAACTGCCTATCTGCGCACGCTTGTCAACGTCATTTTCACGTATCTGATACCGCGTTCATTGAAGGTATGATTGATGCGGCCTGGCCTCCGTGTATGTCACTTTGGCTATCTTCCTCCTTTACTGACCGTGGTTCTCGGCTCATTTCATTATCGGTCCGTTTGTTTACATCTTTTTACAGAAATGTTACAAGTGTTGCGTGTCACAAGGGGCAATGCATGGAGTCGTGTATATGCATCATCAAAGCTGGCGTACCATAGTAGATAAACACCGAAAGGGTGAGTCTTTATTGCCAAGGGTATTTGAAAAATCGCGTTTTTGCTGTCCGTTCGGTTAATTCACTGTGTTCTCAGCGTGCTTTGAAGTGTAACCTTGCCTCTTTTACTACTAAGCTGTAGTTTGTCAGTTGCGGGGAAAAGGGAATAGAGTTGCCTCGGGGACGGCGGTGGCACACGCATAATCCCATTTACAGTGAGGGAGACGTGAACAACATGGAAGCCGTTCTCCATTCATACATTCATCGTTCTCCAGTGGCAAAGCTGTGGACAAACAGCCTGGAGGTGGACTTGGAAACAATAATCGCTTTTAATCAAAGTCTTCATCTACGCATGCCACATACTGTCTAGTCTTATCCAAAATGAGCGAATCTCGTAGATGACAGTTGTCAATGAGGCCGCAGTAAGAATTACCTGTAGCAACATTACTTTGAGGTCGCAGGATGACCGAGTTGTGATGCCAATCGACAGTTTTTTCGGATGTGATTTTAGCCCGTCGGGCCACTTTGCAAGCACTCCAGATCTATAAGGGGGGGGGGGGAAGAGAGACGTTCACCGGGAGAGATTTATTAGTGCTCTGACGTCTCGAGTAGTTACTTCGGCTACCCATATTCAGAGACTAGGAAGCCATGCGCAAAGTCCTCCTTACCTGGCGCACTGTTCGATGCGCGGCCCGCCAATGCGGCCTGTGTGGCTGCATCCTACCCGCATGTCATCGTGACCTGCATCGCCCCCGCCCTCGTCGGTTGCGGAGATAGCCGACAGCCCCAGTTGTCCCGCACCATGACTGTCCCTCGCCAAGAAGTTCCGTAAAAACAGATATCGGGGGGGGGGGGGGCAAATTAATATGGTGGTTGACGGAGCAGTTGGTGGACATCCAGGCTTCTTACACTTTCCTCGCTGTATGATCATCGCCTCGGCCCATGATCTCAACGGCCTCAAAGTTGAAGATGTGTCCCACTTTGGTGTGTACGTACGCTATGCCGACGGGTGGAACCTCATTACAGCACGCCAGCGGCTAAACTGGACGGGATGGAGCTCCTCCAAGAACTCTTCAGGGCTAACGGATATCCGCGATCATTCGTTGAACGGAGCCGAATGCAACAAAGGAAACGGAATGAAGAGCATGGTCAGCCAAAATCGTGGCGGAGCATTCCGTGCATAAAAGTGGTCTCTGAAGCCGTGGCTAGATCTCTTGCTCCACTCGGAATAGGAGTTGCTCACAGGTCTGCTCCAAGAGTCCGCCAGCAAGTGGTGCGACCAGAAGACCCTACTACTAAATAGGAGATGTGCAACTGCGTTGAGAAACCCAGCCGCCGGCTGAAAACGTAAACGCACGGGCACAAGTTGACCGTGAAAAGCTTGGACTCAAAGTTGGAGGTAGCAACCTATGCCTCGCAAATGACACACATCAATCTTGAGGCCGTGGAGATCGTGGGCCGAAACGATGATCATACATCAGGGAACGTGTAAGAAGCCTGGATGTCCACCAACTGCTCCGTCAACCACCATATTAATTTGCCCCCCCCCCCGATATCTGTTTTTACGGAACTTCTTGGCGAGGGACAGTCATGGTGCGGGACAACTGGGGCTGTCGGCTATCTCCGCAACCGACGAGGGCGGGGGCGATGCAGGTCACGATGACATGCGGGTAGGATGCAGCCACACAGGCCGCATTGGCGGGCCGCGCATCGAACAGTGCGCCAGGTAAGGAGGACTTTGCGCATGGCTTCCTAGTCTCTGAATATGGGTAGCCGAAGTAACTACTCGAGACGTCAGACCTGTAATAAACCTCTTTTGGTGAACGCCTCCTCGTCTTTTGATATACCACCCGCACATCGTATCTTCACTACTCCAAATCTATTATAGTAATGAAATCTATTGCAACAGCGACTTTACTCTCGCCCCTTAGTGGCACGGTGGGCAGCATAGAGGTGCTCGGGGTGCAAATTACGTGACCTATATCCCCTGCTTAAAGCGTACTACTCAGTTGTCTGGTCTGCAACGGTGCACATGATGTTTCGCCTTCTAATGCTGTCAAGACTCGCCTGCCTTCCTTTCTCTTTCGGATGGATCCCTAGGGCTCATATAGACTTAGTGTCTTAAAATATACAGTGAATACCGCCACAAATCTTCGTGGGTGCATTATTTGTCTGATCTGGACATTGGTGCTTAATTCGGATGGGCTAATTTTTACGCAGAAAAGTTTTGGTTAGAACATCTTTAATTCTGTACGTGCCTTGTCCGGAAAATTTCACCTTATTCTGATTCCTGCCGCCATCGCAAGTTTTTGGGCCTCAGGTAAACCTCTTCAATACGCTTTATGTCAAAACCATTGTTGGTACAGAGTTCGACACTTTTTAGGCTTAAAAAACAAGAGTTTTGCTTAGACTGCGCGGAAGAAATGTGGTTTATCCCTGAAATTCTCTTAGAGAACAAGATACCCATTTTCAGGGAACTTAATTCGATTACGAAAGAGGGTTGTTCGTTAGTTTATATAGTACTTTATATTTGCTTATTCCTGGGATAAATGCTGAATAACTTGCACATCCAAATCTTGCGGTTCCATACACCTTGTTCCTTAGATCGCAACCTGACATGCATGTGGAAAACGCTGAAAAGTACGATATGCTAGTCTTGCTTGATTACCACTCGAAAGGCACCCACTACCATTCAACTGGTAAGATATACACCACATTGATGAATAAGATCTCGAGCTGGCGGTATGCCATTTAAGTACAAAAGCATGTGAGCGCCTAGATGATACGAAGGAAAGGATCCCGTAGGCTGTTCATTAAAATTACCTGGAATACGTGACTACCCTCTTAAAGCGTCTTCGAGAATTTATATGTTTAGAGCCCTCGAGACTATACTGAAACAAACAGCAAATTTGAATCGGCTGTCATTACGCATCACCCACAGATATGCTTGAAACCAGCAGCTTCCGTGGTCCTCTCTCGGAGCAGGAGTTTGTCGACCTCACTGACTGGGGTAGAGTGGTGGCACCCCGCGACGTATCAGTTGACTTATCAGCACTCCCCCAGCGCGTGGGGGCGTGCCATGCCCAACTTATCTGCAAACGGAGCGGTTGCTACCGTCTCTTGTCTTCCCCCAAGTCCCTTGTCTGTCCTCCCTCTGTCTATCCGGTCCTCCCATCTGCCGTTCATCTGAGCTACTTGAGCGTTGCACAGAGATTACGCTGTCCGGGCGGTCTCACCGACTTCATGCGCCACTTGCACACCTTTGTGAGTTACTGCTAAATTATGCCTTTGTAATGCCCTAGGCCTGTTTGTCAAGTTGATGGGCACAACGTGACTTTACTGCTAGTTCCCTTTCATCGTCAAGCAATAGTCTTGCTTGTGTGTTGGCTCGCGCCGACAAGTCCACAGTACTTCGAATGTGGGCTTCGGCTTGCGATGCTACAAACAGACTCGCTTATCATGTGCGATGCTCCTTGAAATAAGTCTCACCTCTACCTAAGATATGGAAGTCTCCAGCTGGCCTTAATTAACAGTGGTTTCGTTTGTCCCGCAGTATGCACAGTTGTGTGCATAATATTGTTCTCTCAGACTACAGGTCGTGATTACAGAAAGAGCGCTTGGTTGGTAGGCCTGTTTGGCGCCGAGGTCTGTTCTGAACTCAAGCCTGCCCACTTGCAATCCTAGTTTACAGCTTCAAAATAGATCCGAGCTGTCTTTCCGCTTTATTAAACTGAAAGCAAGGCCCCGGATTTCGAAGAAATACTCCTTAACCTCTGCATGTGGACATAATTTCCGTCAGTGGTGCACACCGTGATAGTGTCGCTTGAATGCTTCCATAGGAGTGGGGCTCATCGATCAATCCTAGATTCGAGACAGAATGGGGACGCGCCGCTTTGTTTTGGATCTGCAGTCTACAGCGCTTGCAGGCAGTCGCATAGCGTCACTCTAACGTGACTTTGGACACCCTTCATCCCACTCAACGAGGTGTAGGCCCGCGGCTCGAATGGCGACCAAAAGAGCCAGGACTGAGACTTCTGGTCCTCCAGACCTTGGATAGTCTGACTACGGCAAATATGCAATATGCGGTCATTCCAGCTTGTCTGGCCTTTGCGGTAACGCTATTCGACTACTCCTACGTCCGTTGAAATAGTCCCCTCTGAGTCGCAATCCGGCCGAAGTGGATAACACTTACTCTAGCGGCTCCTCTATCCTCATTTAGTCATGTACTTTGTAGGCTGGGCCTTATGTCGCAATCACAAGCTGCTAGCTACCAATGGTAGTTTTGGTAGACTCTAACTTTTACGTGATTCAACTAAAATTTTCCGGCGCCCCTGAAGACTTTTGGACACTTGCCCTCCACGGGTCTGTACAATGACAAAATTTAGAGGGAGCTGTTGGGGGCAGGCATTTTATTGTGAAAAGATAAACTTGGCATAGAAGGCGATGCTATTAGCGGAAGAAACTGCGTCGATCATTTTGTCTATTGGATAGCACTTTAAACAAATTGCCGACGTCCCAGATGCTCCTCTCTCAACTATCTTTGTTCACTGCAATTATAATGAGAAAAGTTACTGCGGCATGTGCAGCATTCGACTTCCTAAAGCCACACTGCACTTCCAAACAACAGGCATTTTTTGATGTTGTAATTGAACATCGACGCATTCGTCGCGTGTTTTAACTCAGTTGTGAAGCCTATATACGTAAAACGGTCCGCCATCCCATTGCTCTTTTGCATGATCATGTTCCAGATAAGACGTTCTGTCCGGAAAATTTTATTTTACGCGTGCTAAACAGAACTCGAAAAACGCAGTTCTGATCAGGAAAGGTATCGAGAATGACCGCTAACCCGATGATGATCTGATTTTTCATTGGCCTCACTCTCCTGGTTTCTTACTGTTTTTTTAGTCGTCACTTTGTCCCTTCCTACAAGTTCTAGGTTTGCTTATGTTTTCTGCCTTGACCTCCAAGGCATTTTGAGTTACCTTCGACGTCTCAATGACTGACTTTGTGTTCTGTATTCAGTTTTCACAAAACCAAAAAGCCTGATGGGAATTCTCGTTTTCAAAATTTAGCTTCCTTCCGCGTTCCAACCATCACTCCTGAGCGTTCCGGCATGCCTGTCAAGTTTATGTGAATTCCGCGACTATTCCAGGAAACTGGGGTTCACAAAGTAAGCTCTGACAGATAATGCAGTTTACTGTCTTTCATTCTCCTGCCAGCAACATTCTCTACCAAATCGCTTCTTTCTTAGCTTCATCGGGTTTAGAATCCATGTCATTTAACATCCAAGGACGCTTTGTTATGCAGCTTTTCCGGCCTTTTTGGGAGGACTTTGAGCATCTTAACTTCTGGAGGCCAGGCTTTCAGACCTCTGGCTCCGTGCTGGAACTTCAATGAATGCGTAAACGAGAAAACCGTGAATAACGGGGAAATATCGCTTTATTGTTAAATGTGATTGCAGTTTCGACCTGTGTTCGATTTATCACACAATACCATGGTTTAGGCCAAGTGATGGCGACTACTGTATGTCCGCGCCAATGAATGCGGGTCAGCATGGAAGAGAAGCAAGTGTAAATCACGGTCTCGGCAGTACTAAGTAACAGGTTAAATTTCGCAGGCTGAGGTGAAGAAACATTCGAAAATGGCTGCCGGTAAAGATCGCCTATGTGCTTCCCACCCTGACAGGACATGAGAAAAGCGGCCCCCGCACTATTGATGCCTTTACGTTAAGTTCCGAAGGAATTAGGGTTAAGTTTTAGGTCACTACTAGGGCTATGACATGGGGAAAGGTAACTCCCCCCCGCTGGAATTCAGCGCATAACCACCTGTATCACGGGCGAAGGGTATTCCTAGTCCCGTGTCATGTCGGAGTGATAGGAACCCATAAGTGATCCTCACTTAGTTGTTGATCATGGTTCAAACAACCGCCAGGTATTTGGTATTTAGAGTTGCAAAAGTTTATCTAGAAGGATCTAGAGGGCTAGTTGGTGACGTACGTTTGCTTTCGATAGATTCTCATCAAGCCAGTGCTTTTATATGGTAACGGGATGAATTAAAATATGTGGGTAATAAGTGGACTCAACTAACGTCCATTTTTCCACACAAGTGGGATGAGGAGAATATGCGGGGATAATAAGAGGCAGCAAGTATGAATCCAGTCAGGTAATGATGATTAATGTGGAGGGGGTGTTAGGAAGAGCCGTGTCAGAGGATTGGTTGCGAATTACACTCGGAATCTTGTTACTGTTAGAACTCCAAGGCCCCTAACCACTGAGCAATGGGCTCGTTGTCACGTTGGTTGCTATCGGGTATGTACAATGGTAGAAGGGCGTTCACCGATCGTGTTACGGAACTCACTCGTCCCGTTTTGTCTTGGGCCTCTCTCTTGAGCCCAACCAGAAGCCGCACAGCGGCGTATAGTATAGGAAACTGATTTTGTGGCGGTCTTTCTCACGACGATCCCGCACATACAAGGCATAACCATCCCGGTGGCGGCAGCAGGAGTTATTGGTAATTACCGTAGACGAACTGGCTTCTGCGGGTGGAATTTTTACTAAGCATGCCTATTTCCACGGCAAGGGCAACGAATCCGCTCAGCGGTAGCTCCTACGGAAGATGGACTAAGTTACTTGTCCACTGCCCGTGCCAATTTGCTGCACTCTGGTTGTGTAAGCGGGGCCTCTTTTCTTAAAATAGATCTTAGATCTTCCATTTCAGTAGTTATTGCATGTTCTAACACCTTAACTGCTTTGTTTTTGCCTAATGCGAGTTTCATTTCGCGTGGTGTCCTGACAGTTTCTGGGTAGCAAAATTGGATATAGAAGGCTTTTTCGACAGCATTGACCACGCCCAACTTCGTCAGGTCTTCAATCGCGTACTTACCCTGGCAAGTCTGATACTTATTTTGAACTTACGGCAAAATTTTATGTAGCTTTGTTGCGGCTGGGCTTGCCGAACGTTCTGCGGCATAGTCATTTTTCGATAAATTTCCAACTGTCTTAAATACTTTTTTTCTCCTTAGGCCAACACATTCACTGTATTCCCATTCAACACGGATTTCCTCACTGTAGAACTGGATAATTTTTTAAACAAATATATTATCCAGGTGCGTGCTTTCTGTATAATTGGTTATTTGACGCGAATTCGCTCTGAAGATTTTGTAGATGAATATTCGACTTCTGCTGTATTCAAGTCCTGGATTGTATTACCACACTAGTAACCGGTGAAATATCGTTTTTCGCAATCTATCAGACAGAGGAGAGAGTTTACTTATAATTGAGCCTTTCATGTAGCGACTTCGGTTACTCATCTTCGTGCGGATAGTGAAAGGATCAGTCGCCCAGCAGAACGACATTAACTCCCTCTGGAGACGCATCAGACCAGCGAGCATCTACAAGCATCCGTTAGGAGGGGAATATCCCGAGGGAATAGGAATGAGGAAACCAATTGACCCACAATGTCATGGCGAAGCATTCAATACGTAAAGGGTGCCTTCGCGACCGTAGACAGATTTTGCTCACAAGTCATTCACTCAAAGGCCAAACTCAACAGCCCGCCGGCAGGTAATGAATCCGGAAGACCTCATTCCCAACCAGAGGTCAGCCGTTGGCTACCGACTTTAATACAGTTAGGGAAACATACTGAGAGCTGTTGATTTAGATGCAGGGACATCAACTAGCGGTGGGGATGTTAGTCTTCAAGTCGCACATTATGGTCCATGCTGCGCATACAGGGCACATTGTCAATCCTGATGATGTTTTGGTGGTGGACCAAGGTGGCAAGTCATCACAACGACTGCGAGACGCGTAGCTCTAAATCGACCACTTATTCAACCGCCACATTTACATGCCTACGGACTATTTGGCTTTGCGTTGCCGCTTGGTAATATGCAGTCAGTAAGTCGGACTGTTGAAACCGCCAATTGTCGTCACAACCAATCAGGAACTGAAACCAGCTTCCCACTCGGAGTTAACATTGACTATCTTCGCGTCAGGCGCGATGCCTTCAGGACCTTTACGCCTTATATAAAAGTCTGTACCTTTGTTGGTCCCCCTCAGTAAATGCCTGCCCAATAACTATGTCGTTAACTGTACCCACCTGGAGTACGGCATCGTCGGAATGGGGTTCGATACGGGAGTAGATTTTGCCACCAAGTCCATGCGTCTAGCCAGCTATGGAAGCTTTGGGTGGCTTTAACGGCCACTTAAGTAACCGATCAGGAAATGGACAACAGCACACTGACGACAAAAGCCGAACAATGATGACAAAACCAACCACTGATGACAGGCTCCAATCGCTAGTGTGATAGTAGGAGATCTTTCGGTCGGGGCCGGGGAACGCACAGGTGATGAGGTGATGCAAAAGAAAAGCTATTGGGAATGCGCGGCTGTGCTTTGAGCGGTTGAGAAATAGTTGCCCCGACCCCAACAGTATTGTATCCAACAGGTGGAGCTACACAATCACATCCTACCGATCCCTGGGGCGTGGTCCGAGTCTTTTAAATCAATCCCCTTTCACTACTTGACGAGGTTGGCAGATCATGCACTCCAACCTACGCCAGTGAGTGCTCGTGAGATTGCACAAAACAGGGGACAGTCTGGAAGGGCATTAAGTAGTTTTCCCAAAAACGCTGCACCCCAAGATTGCCGTCCGCCAAATACTGAAAAAATACCGTTTTCCCGCATTAAACAGTTTAGCCGTCGCCAATGTTCATGTCCACCATGTGCCCCACAGCATGCAAGTCACCGTCCCTGTGCCCAACTAATAGTAATAGTAGGCTTGCGCTGCATCTACCGTCCTCTCTCCTGTCACCCTCCTGGGTCAACTATCAGAAAGACCGGAGGCGAGATCGGACTCAGGTGACTAGTGTGGCATGAGCCTGCATCCAGGCGGACCACCACAACCCCTGACCAGCGCACAAATGACCAGAATTTCACCCAACAAGAAGGGTTGAGGGGCGGCTTGGATCCAAACCGAATGGGAGTGCCATGAAGGCCACACCAAGGAGCCATTACAGCCTGACTCCGTCCTGAACGGAGGTCCGAGTTACCCCGTCAGTTGGCAGCCTTCTAAGCCACGGCTTTTAGAGCTCACCGTGATAGATTCGATCGCGTCGGACTTTTTATTGGAGGAATATGAGCTGACTGTCCCTCTTCCACGCACTTGTCCACCGCCCGAATCGGTCAGTTTTCTGATGCGGTATTAGGCTCAGTGGCTGACAGAGCTAGAGGCTCAACTGCGCATGCCGTGTACACGGCCTGTCTCCCTCCCCTCACTCAACATACCAGGATTTAAGAAGGAGACACGATCGCCGGGACAAGAGCTTTATTAGCCTGGCGTTTCAGATTCCTGCCCGAATCCATCATCAGAGACAAAAGCAGATACGGCGGTTCATGCACAAGGGACTGCAGTATTTATAGTATGCAGTCGCCATGCCATCGCATACCTATGAATATTCACTTTGCAGGACCGGTTAGAGTCGCTGGTCTTCCAGAACTGCCATGTGGATGACACCTTCGTCGTCATCGACCGGGATCAACTGCGGACATTCAAGGAACATCTGAATGCGGTCTTCCCGGACATACAAGTTACGATGGAGGAGAATGAGAACAACCAGCTGGTCTTCCTGGATGTTCTCGTATGCCGGAAAGATTGTGGTGGACTAAAGACCAAAGTGTTCAGGAAAGCGACAAATACGATGCAGGTACTGAACTTCAACAACAACCACCCGACCAGCCACGAACGCAGTTATGTAAGGACGCTCTATCGGCGTGTCGAAACGGACTGCAGTGAGTCGGCGAAACTCGGCCCTGACCAGGTGCATAGGTCTGACGACAGATGCTGCCGCCTGTCGTCCCACTTTTCGACGATACCCCGCTCCAGTTAACCTCATCTATGATCCTGTTTTGTGAACAGGCGTTTATTGAGGGCATTAAAGTGCACCTGCTCACACGAGGGTTTACAGCGTGCTCTCAGCTAACGTGTTGAAGTCTTGCAGGACGCATGGCACCTGCAGGCTCTTTGAAATATTCGACTTCTCCATGCTCTACAAAATAGATTTTGTGGGTGGATCTTCCCGTGCGTCTGAGCAACTGGCTACTGTTTGTCTTGTTAGTGTCCGACCACTATTCCTTTCAGAGGCTTTCGGCACATTAGCACTTTTATCTGCGTCATTTTTGTTGAGTCCTTTGCATCTTTTTCTTCATCATTACCAGTTGGGCGGACAACTGTTCTGTCAAACCCGAGGCATTCCCCAGGGATCCTGCATATCCGCGGATCTGGCCAATCTATTTTTGGCCAACACCGACCGTACCTTCTTGGGTCAGTACTGTTGGGCCCTCGATCGCACTAGGAAGGTCCTGTGCAAGTCCGACACCCGCCGGTCTTCGCCGCCAGTGGCTGTTCTGCGCTATCTGGATGACTACCTCTGCCTAGCATCATCGTCGGAACATCTCACTTGTGTAGTTGATGCCGTTAAGCACGGTGATTTACCAGGCTCTTCGCCATCCGTCTTCTCTAGGCTATCTTAAATAATATCTTTCTTGACCTCCATCCTATTTTATATTCTTCATCCATTAATTTAGGAGTTGCTGCCGTTGGACTTCGTTTGAACTCTAACAAAGAGAAGACCAATGTTGGCAGTCTGGGTAGGTTTTTGAAGACCCCCTCCCCACTTAAACTGCACACCTTAGTTATAAAGGGTTGACTGAAACACCTAAAATATTCGTTGTACACTTTAGGTCAACCAGTGATGTGGTTGGGAGTTGAGGTTAGACGTGACCTCAGTCTCCTGCTCCCAAGTATTTCTCCCTTTCCACGTGAGTATGTTTTGTAACACGTACAAACTTTTGTGGCGAATTACCTGCCGCTCGGTGTTGATGTAGTGTCATTCAGCCCAGCAAGCTTTTATCATTTGTGCGCACATACTATCATTATATCCTGTCTTCTACTTCTTGCCCCGTTCTGAAAATTCCATTCTTAGAAGGTTCATTGTAGGTCGTCTAAACTTACCCCGCATTATCAAGTTGATATCCACCTGTTTCGACACGCGTTAAGCAACAATTGCCACTCATGGAGTACCTTTGCTTGATATCAGTCCTCAGCAAGTTGGAAATGACAAGGTAGATGTAGCGTATCTCACATTCGTTTGATTTTCTCAAACTATGTTCGTTTGGGACCTATTTGACTAAACGGGTGTTCTGATTCGTCACCAGAAACAGCAGTTTTGCTAGTTTTTTCCTTCAATAATGTCCAGATAAAATCCTCCTAGTTGCTAGTGTCTTAGTGATTCCTACAACATACCAGTTAAAACGAAACATCTCATTTAACAGAGAGCTGACTTTTCTTGATGACTCCATTGTGGCTCTTCATGTAAACACCGAAATTACGTAGACTGCTTGATAAGAGCTTATGCACCCAGAAACCTTGTCCCGGCCATGAAAATTCACTTTTACGTCAAAATGTATTGAACGCTTGATGAACATATCGCACAATGTCTCATCCGAATCTTTTTCAAACGAAGGGTCAACAGTATAAATGGAAGCCTACCCTAGTAGGACCGATCGTACCCGCTCCGATCCCCGGTTGTTACAAATGCACGTGTCCCACTATGCAAAAACAAGGCAACAAGCAAGAGAAATTTATGCCGAAATAGACCACCTGGAAGGTCGCACTGTAACTTCCTGTTGGGACTTTACCTCCTTATGAGGTCCCGAGTATGAAAACTAGGGCAGAGACGCAGTGGGCGTGGTTTTTTACAAGGAAATAACTGTGTTTCCGATGTGAATACGTCTGCATTGGCAGCTCATTAGTCGCACCATCAATCTCCGGAGCTGAACCAGTAAGAGGGAAGACGAACGAAAATGAAACAAAGAGGTTTCTGACTCAGGGCGCATACCGATGTGCGAGACGAAATTGCATTTTCATCAAGGGCAGGGTGCGTAAATAATAAACAAATTGTCTTATTTAGTACCCATAAGGGTGCGTCCATGACACCGGGGCATATCTGACGGATCTCTGTAATTATATTTTACTCTCGGATATTACATTGCACCTTTGTGTTAGGGGAGTCGACACTTTTCTCTTAATGCACGGTGCTTACATCGATGCCGTTCAATGTAACAGCAATAATATGTATACTTATGGGTGCGGAAGGCGATGATACCATGGAATTCAATTTTCAACGACTGGAGTACTTAAACAAAGCTATTAGACGGAAGGAGGTTATTTACACAGTTTTGGTGGCCATCGCCCAACGTTAGCTGCAATGCATTTAGAAGCGGCTGTATCTACCCACTCACCAAACTTGGCAGTTTTCACATTTGCCTTGTAAGCGTACACCGGTTTCCTCAATTGATCGTACAATCCCCTTAAAATACATCTCTGTTAAACGCGCCTTTGACACATTTGCCTAGGTATCTTACTCTCGCAACCCCCTAATCAGGCGATTTATTGGTCTTGGTTCTCCAATTTTGTTTTCCATTCCGACTGTTGGTGGTGGAGTCAGTGCAGATCCTAAAATCTGTTCTTTGTCTGTTCTTTACTCCAGAGCTTACAATAACAGCACACAAAATCCCCAAGTCTAGGTAATGCATTTTGGGACGATTAACGAGGCCGATTTACTGGTGAAATGATTGTTATAAGGGTATTGCGTTCACCACAGCCCAACTCACTAAGTCAATTTGGTCAATACCTTTGTATGCTGCGGGTGTAAGGATGCGATTTCAGTCATCTTATACCCTTCGTTGGACTTTCACTATCTTAGTATGACTCGTCCATATGTGGATTATGCACTTAAAGATCATGTTGTGCAATGCCGGTTATTATTTCCTTGGCGGTTAGTCCAAACCTTGGGAGCTCAGCTATTTACCTTCCCATCTGATTGATGCCATATCCGGAAACGTGGAATAATCATTCACGTAAGTTCGAGTATAAACAATAATTTTCCGCCTATAAGCATCGGCTCTGCCAGTTTCGCTCTCTAAACTCTCTCAGTACACAAACAGGCTTTAGCGCTTCCCGTAAGCAGGTTTTTTGACTTTCTGTTCTTCTTTTATATTTTAGTGTTTTTTTCAGCCTTTCCTTTTTCTTCGTTCTTTTGAGCGTGAACCTTGTTGAATACCATCATTTGGGTGTTTGTTCTGAGGGTATTTTGTCCGTGATGGATGCGGATTCTTATATTGTACTTTTTTGAACAAAATAAAAATTTGACATGACAAAAATAATTGATTGACATTTTTTATAATAGATGGCCTGTAATAGTTACAATCTCGCCGCAGCAAGTCATAATTTCAAATAATTACAAATGGTTTATTAGATAAGACATTTGACAATGAGTGTTTTATCCGAGATTCCTGCAGAAATTCTTCGGACTGATCAACCAAAACAGGGTGGGCGCCTACTTGTTTTCCTGTTATTTCTCTCTCCCTTTCTCTTCACCTTAAATTTACTTAGCCAACTGGGATCTTCACGTTTTTAGTGCGTAGCAGCCGTTTCAAAGGTTATCCAAGGTCGGTGACTGCTTGTATCGCCTATCTCAGGCGTTCTCTTTCCCAGCTCTCTCATTTTCAATTTGTTTGTGCTGATCGTCCGAAGTCCCATCTGCATGGTTGCTCTTCTTTTCACATTGGACCACCAGGCAAGCTATATTTACAAGGAATTGCATGTGCATCTTGTTTCGTTTTCGCTAAGATCACAATGGGCCTCACGCTTTCTGGTTGTCACCATTCAACGAACTCCTCGGACTCCGAGAAGTAGAACTCTAATGACACTGGAACTATGAAAATATCAACCAGTGAGATACGTTCAATCCTAATTTTAATGACAGCTAGGGGCCCGGGTGTCCTAGACTGCCAGGCTGTCAGTCATACTCCTGTTGACTGAAGACGGTTATCTGCATTCATCTTAGGTGGTAATTTGCTGACTTCCTAGGCCACATCTAGGTAATTAAAAAGCGAATCTTCTTTAATGTTTTATTGCTGTCTTTCCTCAAGGACTTCTTGTTTTCTAGTTCTTGCCGAGCAAAGAATTACCCCCAGTTCACCTTGCCTGAACTCATACCGTGCTCGCAGCTTCCCGTCTGCGGTATCAATAGCCGAATATTATTCCCATCTCCCACATCACACAAGTACTCGTCTCGCATTCCTTTGGAACTCGTTGTGATTTCGCATCGACGTTACCGTAGTGCAACAGTAAGAGGGAGCTATCGAGACCTTGTTGTCGACCCTATCAACTGGTGACCTTTTAAGTCCTCTTTAAGGCGCAGTGATGGCTCAAGAGGGATCTGGAGTTATTTAAGATATCGCCACTTTCGGCTGTAATGATGCTTCTCTGCGTGTTTATCGGATCCCCGTGCATTATAGACCTGAACCTGGATGCGAAATTCTATTTTACGTTTTAGTCTCAAGCTGCTTGAAAACTCATTTCGCCAATCATACCAATGCCTCTAGACTGGGTGCCTACGCTGCGGACGTCTTCTGGAATGTGGCGAAGTCCTGCCCTCAGCGTTCTAGTCTACTATCACGGAATAACTCACGGCGCGTCGCGCGTACGTTAAAAATTTCCGAAAAATAGTTTATTCTATAGTAGACTGGTAGTACAAAGTAGGTATCCAGTGCCCTGTCAGTGACACGGCTTGCTCCTCTGAGACTATACGATGCTTCTCTAGCCGGCGAAGTACAATCATTTGGGATGAGTGGATGGGATTAATCGTATTCTTTCTGTACAAATTTGATCGTCATAGGGTTTTTGACAGTTCCCTTTACGAAGTACTTAAATAATCGAACTCGTTTGCATTCAAACCTAAGATAAGTATTAAAGTATCTACATTTTTCTGTTGGTTTTATTTGGTCATCACTGACGTTAATGTCTTATGTTCACCTGTTCTTTGCTCCCCCAGTGTATTAAACTAAAAACCTTTTCTCTACCCGTTTTTATTCTTCATCAAAAGACCTCCATTATCTTTTCGGGGTGGGGTTACATTGAAGAGATAAAAGCTCTTAAGACTGTACTTAAAAACACTCCCGTAAGTGTATGTGAATCAGGGTGCTGCTGACTGCCCTCTATTTATTCTGTTTTGAGACTGGCGAGCCTTAACCCAAGACTACTTCAATGGCTTTGGCTTTCAGTCCAATAAAACGTTTCACACTGATCCCCAATCTCTGCCGCTGCAGTAGATATCTAACGACGTTATGCCTATGCAAGACCTCTGGCTACGCTTCCTGCAGTTTAACCTAGTGAATTACGCGGTTTCTCAGAAATTGCATATTTACAGCACCCATAAGCGATGCCTTTGTATTTCCTCATAATTATATGAGCGTCTTTTGCAACGATCGTAGTAACTGCTGAACGAAGTTCATACACTGGGAGATACAGTAAATTTTTGTGCTTTTACTGAAATTTATCCGCAATTTTTGGACCTCAGACATGTACATTTGTGGAGGAAGCCAAAATGAGGAAGGGTATGCAAGCTTATACAGTCCTTTTACTATTTTCAATTCAATGTAACCCGGACGACCTCATTTGCCTACTATTGCGAATTTATAGTGGTTGGCGAAAGTGTTAAAATAACTGTCCTACCTGTGTAGTGCTATCTATCAGGGACCTCAATCTGACGTATAATTTCGTTTTGCCAAGACAGTCCGACCAAAATGTCTTCATTGTTTCGGTTTCATTTTCCGCAACATTCTAGCAGAAGATTCTGACAAAATTCCAATTAGCTCACACGACTCTTCACTCATTCCTCCAAAAACTATCTAATTTCAACATCCTAGAATGCCGCTTTTCTGACGGTCTGTTTTTCGTCAACTCTTCTCGAAGCCAAATCGTCTCACATGTCACTCGGTGGTCAGTGAACCGCGTCTTTAGCCTAAAGCGTTGACGGTTTCAGTTTACAATGCACTCAACGCGAGTTATATTGCAATTCACTGGGGTCCGATTGGCTCTTCTTTCAAGTCTTAAGGCTTCCTCTGTGCTCAGGGCTACCAGCTTTTAAGGATGTCTGGTGGCAGAAATTTGATTCTAGAAAGGCATCTGGATCGTCCGCAAGCGCCTAACAGAGCACCCTTCTCTGGATGTAATCCTCCTTCAGTTCTGCTCCAGATGATTTCTTTTGGGCACTTTTGTTTGCCTACTCAGCTCTGTAGACGGCTTATGAAGTAGAAATACATAGGGTTAGCAGAGAATGATAGTTCCACCCTTCATAGATGTTTTGACAGAGCTCGAATAATTCTTGTTGACCCAACTGTGAAAAATCCGGCTCCGCGGTGGGATTCGAACCCACGCAGTAAGGGCAAGGCTTTAGTACAGTCAACGCTCTAACCACTTGAGCTCCGAGGCCTCGCCGGACGACGCGAGTTTTATCATATTTGGGTCAGGCTAGGAAATCCTGCTTGGGCAGTCAACTTACTATATCAGATTTGGTGGATTCCAGACGTTGCAGTAGGTTGAGCGAGTAACTTGACTCAAATGCGATTAAACTCGCGTCGTCCGGCGGAGCCTCTTAGCTCAGGCGGATAGAGCGTTGGCTGTACTAAAGCCTTCGTATTACTGTCGTAGGTTTGAATTCCACTGAGGCGCTGAGTTTTTTACAGTTGGGTAAATATGAAGAGAAACGCATCCTTATAAGTGCCTTTTACCTAGTCTGTAACTTTCAAAACGTCAGTTTTTTTCTAAAAATCAGAACAAGTCAGATGCCATTTCGTATGCCTTTTAAAACTGACTTCGGATGCTAAAATGCAGCTCCAAGTGCGAGTGCTTTTTTAAGTTTTGCGCAATGAGTTACGTGATATGATATCCAAGTCTTTCCTCAAAATTCGGTTAAGATACTCGTTCTAAAACGGAGGGAGGGTTTCGACGTTCACCGAATCCCTACGCACTACTGTATCCTTATAACCGTTTTTTTGCTAAAACAACAAACGCAGCAAATTCTTCTTCCAATGGCACTCTGTGTACCTGCTTAGTAACAGACCCCATATTTTAAGGATGTTTTTTTAGGTGCACCTGGACATTGGTATGACAGAACACCTCCTGTGATTATTTCTGTTTCGTCTGTTTACACGTGGCTAATAAAACCTCTGCCTGTTTGGGGGAACTTGTAGTCACAGATGATCTATCTCCTGAGCTATAGGACGTGCTCTTGGGCCATGTGTGTGAACGATATTTCCACCCTGGGGCTCATTTTTGGGCTGTATGAGTTTCCTGTCTCTGTAGTCTGCCATACTAACACTGTTTTCGCTCGTCAAAGCATTTAGACTACCATAAGGATTCAGCACATTGCAGACTGGTTGACTTTTAAGTTCATTCTTAGATCTCGCTAACTTTATGTTTTTACACATTTTAGTTATCATCCTTCTGCAGTTTTGCACTTTTCTCGTCGACATCTGGCGAATTAATTTGGCACGGACAAGTTTTTTACATCGCCTCGCGGCATACAAGGGACAATTAAAGTGGCTTTTCGATTGGTTACAGTCTCCTGGTCAACTCTTTCCACAATCGACTGGAAACGCCAACAAGGCTGATGCCGTATCCTTAACTCATTCTCTCCCTGCCTCGTTCATGAAAAAGAACAGGAAGAAGGTCTGCTTGTGGCATCTGCAAAAAGTTTGTGCGAAACTGCCGGAAGCTCTTTTCCCACTGACACGAAAATCGCGAAAAAGGAATACAAGAAGATAATTGGGTCGTTTTAGTGTTATACGCTTGACAGATGTATTTTTAGGCCATTCGATTATAATTCTGCCCGTTTGTACTAGGCTCGGTTTTATTAAAGACGGTGCATCTGTGTGAATTCTATTTTTGATAGCGATAGCGGGAATTTCAGGAATGCGAATAGATCATCAAAACTCCTTTGTCCTGTTGTCTTACTATAATGGATTTATTTCGCTCGTTCTCTGGGTTGCCTTGTCGCCAGAGCCTAAGTTATTTCGGACTTTTTCGCTCGGAACTGACATATACGACTGATTTCTTTATTTATTTATTCCCAATGTCTGGGTGAATTATGATGTACTTCAGCTGACAAAACTGTTTTGCTATTGAAAAGTCACTTGCCTTTTTCTGTCAGCCTTGATTTTGCAACCTCGGATATCCTTGACTGAGCCATGGTTGCTATGAGTATAATTATGTTAGGAACATTTAGGGAACTGTAAGCCCACGTTATACAGCTTCCACATCGGTGAATGCTAGGTTGTGTTCAAGTTTGGGTGGTTGATATCATCTCTTCACGCGCCCATATCTTCAAAACCACCCAAACTGCATCACATCGGTAAACCTAGGAGCAATAAGCGGGGAACAGTGTAGGCAGTTATTCGGAGACAGCCACATATAGCACACTTGACAAAGACATCGAAGGCTAAAAGGGACGCGAATCTCGAAAGTGAACATTGGACGCACCTTACTTCTGCCCCTGATTTTTTTTACAAAGATCCAGCTCCATTACCATTGAGAAAACCCTGTCGTTAAACATGTTTGGTTAGACTTCTGCATCATTCTTAGTTGATTTATTTAAATTCGTGGGATCCCTGTGTGCCGTAATAAACTTAGACATTGTTGTTAGCGGAATCTGTTGAACTTCTATCATTCGTCCATTACAGAACAAGCAAGTTAACTCGGGGCGAACAAGATGTATCTTTCCCAACTTTTTAGAGTCCAGGCGGAAGAAAGTGGTGACGGTGGGTTCTGCAACCCCAGTTACCCCACGCTCGTGTAATACGGGAATGGTGGTCCATGGGGTTTTACGGGTGGGCCATCACCAAGGGGGAGAACGAAGTTCATGCATCCAAACTTTAAAAAGCAGGTAGATTGCCGCTGAAATTCCTCTTCTATGCCTGTATATAGCAACGAAAGTGAGCGCACTAGTTGAAAAATAAACAATAAACAACTCTGAATAGATAAAGGATAGTCGAATAGTCCGTCAATCACACATTTGCGACAGCCTAGGAACCAATGGGACGAACAGCCAATAGGAGAGGAGAGCGGTAAGTGCCAAATATTTCAATATCGGAAATAAACTGCGAGGTGGCATAATGCATATGAGTATCAGAGAAGCAATGAAAATTCACCCTAACGAACAAGAGGGAAGTCAAATGACGTAACTATGAACGCTTGTTTGTATCTTCATAGTAGGTCAGTGAAAGTCAAACAACCGCAGCTTGATTTTCTGGCTAGGGTGGAGGAAATAACGGAAGCTATAAACTTAAAGAAGGTGGTATAGTACTGCTGAGCAAGGGGACTGCTATCTAGTGTGGCAAAATGCTAATGCGGAAGCCAAATGCGCCAGCAAGTAGTGAGACTGCACATCGATGGGTACGTGTTCCGGTGCAGCCGGTGTCGAAGGAGGAAAGCTTTAGAGGTTTCAGTGTCGCGTCGGACAATATGGGTCCACGTAGACGGGGTTCAATATCGTCTGCGGTTTGGCCTAGACAGCGTTGGCATAAAGCAAGCATGGAAAATATTCCCGTCGAATATTGCGGAGGCATATCCGGTGCAACAGCTTCCCGAAAACGGAACCTGAAGGGCTGCTTCCTGAACTCAATTTAACGACCATTTATAAGTCAATTTCTCAACGTAGACTCGACGGACTTTAATTTTCTTATTACCGGTTACGCGAGGGACTACGCACAAGGAATCTTAAAGAGTTAAATAAGCTATGGTACACGCATTCGACAACTGGGACTATTCGTAGATATCGTGGAAGCTTAGCGCTTGTGCTTTAACTGAGGCAAAGTAAACCATAACACACGACAACCCTTACAGCACGCGTTGTATGGTGAGTGCTGACGTGGCACAAGAAGGTTAAGCTAGTCTTTTCGAAAAGGTGAATAAGTCACTGCAGGCAAGTCCGACAATAGAAATTGTTTGCAGATATCGAGGATGCCGAGCGTGTATGCTCTAACTGAGGCGAAATAAACCAAAGTGGTGCCTACGATCCTTACGGCCGGCGTCGCATTGTGAGTACGGCCATGACAAAAAAGGTGTGGCAACCCTTTTGGAAGAAACTGACTATGGAGAGGGGGGCGGAAGTCGAAGGTCATCGCCTGCCAAACAATTTATCACCAAAAAGGCTACACTGAAACAGCTAAGTGCTTGTGGTTATACCAGTGTGCTAAACAAAATTCAATGGGTGACTTCCTGTAGCTATGAACTGATAAAAAAAAACAGGGCCTACGAAAAAAAATATAGTAATTGGTTATTCATATTAAACCTACTGGGGTCGCAGAACCTGTCCTTTGCAATAGAATAAAGATGCTCACATACCGTTTTTACGGAAATCACTCGTCCCGTTGTGCCTTACGGACTCTCTCGAGTCCAACCAGCGGACTCACAGCGGCGCACCATATAGGTAGAACGGTGTTACCGACGAAGGAATGATCGAAGAACGGAGAAAGATTCGCCATTGTTGCAGAATTATAGAATGGGGACACACTGCAAATCGATGCACGAAAGCCACAACGAGCTCATCGTTGCCACATAACATTTATCCTAGTTGCAGTTCTGAACTTTCTTACCAACGATTATTTGAAGTGCCTCACTAGGTGTGCTATCTCATTAAATGTTGACTGAAATTCTGGAATGCATTTTCATTTCGAAAATATTAGTAGGGTTGTCATGTTAGTCATCATTTCGCATAATGTCAAGTTGTTCCAGTCATGCCAGGATGCCGACATTCGAACGCGCTACCTTTTGACCGCCTGCGTAAACTACATTCTGCAAAGAGTGACTGCTTATGCAGCATGAGTTCTTCTCACTGATTTTCGACGCTCTTATAGATTTAAATATATTTTGTGGAAGGCATGCAAAAAATATTCTTTCACACATTTCGTAGCAAAGTACGTTTTCTTCGAAGTTTGAATCTGAGGAATGAGTATCTTTCGGTTTTAAAAAAGTTCCAGTTATGAGATTTTTCAAGACCTTATAATGCCCGATCGTGCAGCATCGCATCATTGTATATGTTAGTTTTGCTCATTAAGTGGATGACTTGGTCCGCATCCGTTGCAAAATTTCATGAACCCTAGATGTCCTCTTCATAATAACGTATAGAAATGTATGATTTTCCTTGCACGAAGAGCATACCGCTTGTAGCTTGGAAACCCTGAATGCAAGCGTAACAACAGGTCGAATTCAAAATTATTCAGGCTGCTCTTTCACTGTATATGATTGCCAAAACTAATGCCCTTTCTATTATGCATTTGCGGTTTTTTCAAGTGCGACTTTCCCGTCAGTCTGCCTTGTTGTAACAAATATTTCTTATTATTCAGGATCATTTTCCTGACCCTCAAGTCCGCAAACAGCGTTCTTTTATTATTTAACGCTTCTTAATTTTAAGCTTAAATTATGTGGTGTCAAGTTGGTCAATTTCGAGATCTACTTTTTTCGGTTTTGGGCTAGGTTTTAAAAGCTAAAGACACCTCTCGTTAGTTTTGTGTCTGAAAAAACTGCTCAACATTGGTTCCCCAAATTCAGAAGATATCCAAGACGTTCTATTCTCCGGACAGTCGAATGACTTCGGTGGCGACCCTGCGAAGGAAATTTTGGGAAAAATGTTCTAGACTTAGCAGGGAATTGACGAAAAACAGTGTTGACACCTTCACACAATTCTAAGTCACTAAAACTTAATAGGAAATTTTCAAATTCTAGAAGTATGGGGACACTTGTTTTATGCCATCGGCGCTTCATCATTGACGAAATTTTGCTTACGCGACAGAAAGGCACCTGTGGACACAAACAAGGATTTCTGTATCGTATAGTCGCTGGTCATATGAAATTGCGCCTCTAGGTCAAAAAGAAGAAAGGGAAGAAGTGGGTGCGCCGCTCCCAGCAAGCAACCTCTCATTCGAGACGAAAGTTTCATTCTTAGAATAACGTGATTTGCTTGTGGTTGTTTCAAATGCGTAATCCACTACGAGATGCTCGGACGAAGCCAGACAGTGAAAAGAAACATGTACGCAGCTCACCTGCGTCGCTTAACTTAAGCTATTAAGGATAAATGACCGGACCGTGAGGACAAACTGATCCTGCGGCATGACAACGCCTGAGCCCACACGCCTAAATTAGTCCAAATTGTAATTTATAACTCGAACTGTTTCAGTGTAATGGAGGCAACTTAGGGGAGTTTGCATCATGGCTCATGCTGCCTAAAGAGTTGGTCTCTGCAGACTGCTTATTTTCGGACGACCTCAGCTTCACGGACCTATAAAACTATACAATCCACGCACTGTGACCGGAACGAGTATGGCAGTTAAACCGCCTGAGCTTTCGACTGCATTTCTGTTATAGGAAAGGCCAGGAAACCATTTGAGCATCTTGCTTACGCAAAAGCGAATGCCAGTTTTCAGACTTAGTTAATTGTGCAAGGCTTTGGATTCAGACTGTGATTCACTTTCACTCACAGAAGGTTCTTTACTTGAAATATGTAGTAATTGCACAAAAGATGGACCGACAAAACGTTCCAGTTCACTCCTTTATCTCTGTTGTTTGTAACAAAGGCGGGACTGGTTCGACATTTCGTTTCGACAGTATTCTTCCT